GTGCTCCGGGCCGAGGGGATGTGCGTCAACACGTGACGTCCTCCTTTTGGATGCGGTGCGGCTGTGCGCGGGCGTGCCAGCACGGTCTACCACAGGTCGAGATGATGATAGGGTTTGGGTAGAAGATGTTCAAATGATGCGCCTGTTTCGGGTTCGACTTCTAATCAAACGATTGTGGCCGAGAGAGGAACTGGTCTCGGCCGTCAGGTTCACGGCCTGAGCTACAAGGCCGTTTAGTGGTGGTGTTGGTGGTGGGTTTTAGGCGGTGCTCCGGCGCGTTGCTCGAAGAGCGACGGTCGTATGATATATGGAGTGAATGAGGCGATAACAGGGATGGTGCTCCGGCGCCTTGAAAATCAAGGGTCGTATGATATATTGATGAATGGATTTTCCTTACAATCTACCACTACTCCTAGGAAAGCATGTAAAGGTATTGAAAGTGCATTACAGGAAAAATAAGTTGCTCCGTGGGAGGCTTTTGTTTGGTGCTGGACCTCTTGAACGTAGTCTTGAGCTTAGTATTTATAGGAGGAGTCCTGGAGGGCCAATCGAGGCTGAAAAAAAGATCTGCCTGATGGCTACAAAGTATCTGCATGGTGGAGTCTGATCGGGGCATGTGGTTAGTCAAATCGGCATTTGGGATCGTGAAGCATGGTGGTGTGACCCCCATAAATCTCGGCAAATCTCAGCCACTGCCCTGATCGTGGGCTCTGCACTCTTGGCCGTGGGAACGCATTTAATGCTCTGGTCCAGTGGTTGGTGATTTGACCTCAAGCCGTGAGAATGCATTGTGAGAATGTTTGCGCCTAACCACTTTGATTCCTGTTACCAAATCCTGACTTCGATCACTTCCCTTCTGCCCTCGTGCATTAAATGCTTCTTGCACCCAGTGGTTTTGCTATGGCGGTCAGAGGCACTACTTCATTAAATGGGGCGTGGGACCCTGAGGCCACGTGGCGATTTGACCATAGTATCTTTGACCGTGTCTCTCATGGACCTCGGCCTCGGCCCATAATCCCGTGGTTGTGAGGCCAAGAAGATCCTGCCTTCATATTTTCTTCTGCTTTCGAAAAGGCTAAATATCTGACGAAACGCACGTTTCAGTCCATGAATAGGTGCTACGGCCGAGAAGAGGTCCCTTCTGACGACCGTGATTTATTTAGGCACAAACACACTTAGAGCAAAATCAAAAATTCCGAACCCCATAAGCTCATTATCCAATCTGCTCTCCACATAATACCATGCAACACCAAGGATCAAAAGGACTTTACAAGGGTAGAAATGTGGTTTAGGGTAGTGGTTGAATGAAAGAAGGGATATGAGATGTACAATATTTTGAGCATAATAAAAGCATAGGTAAGAGCATAAGAGATTATTGAACTTTGTAACAAGCAAGGAACACATACATGAGCAGATTTTCAACATAATTTCAGCACCTTCATATCTGTTTATTTGGCCTAATTTTGTGGCTCTTTACCCAGATCACCATGATACTTCTCTTTTATAACACCCTAGGGCCGTGACTACATTGGTCACACTTCATTACCTCTTTTGATTAGTTACCAATACCCCCAAACTTATTTCTTTTCAACACTTGGGTTATGGCACTAATGATTCATTTTTGCTCCAAAAATCTTGCATTCTTCTTTATAACTCTCTTTTGAAGATAGCTTTAATTGCTCATAGAATAAGTAAGAATAAGAAAACAGAGGTTCATTATGATAGGAATGGTTTACACAAAGAAGGGCTTAACGTAGGCTCAAATAGGTTGACTAGGGATGAATACATGTAGAGGGATGATTAGAAAGGCTCAAACGGTTCAAACATGGCCTAAATCACTTCCTAAGCATTGTATGGCAACAAAATGTCTCAAGAGATATTCAAATAAGTTCTAGAGTACGAAACCAAGATCATGAGATAAGTAGAATTGCATAACGTCTCCAAGTAGCAAGAAATTGGACTAACTTGGCAAAGTGCTCAATAAGTGCAAGGATGGCATGCAAGACAGAGTTAACTCAGAACCACACAAAGTCCTTAAATAATGACTATCAATTTCTGAGAAACCATATTAGTATTAGATCCAAGTCTTATCATAGGTGTTTGGAAGGATAACGAAACAACACACAAAATCCTGCTTTTTTAGACATTAGACACACTTAAAAATTTTAAAATTTTGACAATTTGAACCAATATAACTAAATCCTTCCCCCCAAACTTAAATGAAACATTGTCCTCAATGTTTAGAGTGTAAGAAAAAGCAATGCCTCATAAATGAAAGAAAAGAAGATAAGGGAAAGACATAACCAAATGTTAGAGTTCAAAAAAAACTCCCCTTTGAAGCGATTAGGACGCAAGCAAGCTTTCTTGCATGCTCTGTCTTCTCCTCGTCACCTTGGGTTACCTCCTAAGAAGCGTTAAGTTGTATGTCTTCAGCCGGACGTCCAAACTCTGGTGAGCAACAAGAGAGTGGTGGAGGCTCCTTGAGTGCTTCAGACTCAATATTGGCATCAAAGTAAGGTTTCAACCGATGTCCGCTCACCTTGAAGGTGCTGCCATCCTTAATATTTTGAATCTCCACTGCGCCATGATCAAACACATTAGTAATAACAAAAGGGCCAATCCACCGAGAACGAAGCTTACCTGGGAAGAGCTTAAGGCGTGAATTGAATAGGAGAACCTTCTGCCCTTTCTCAAACGTCTTCCTAAGAATTTTCTTGTCATGATATTGCTTTGTTTTCTCCTTGTAAAGCTTAGCGTTCTCATACGCTTCATGTCGCAACTCCTCCAACTCATTGAGTTGAAGCCTCCTCTTCTCACCAGCAGCTTTCATATCAAAATTGAAGGCCTTGATTGCCCAATAAGCCCTGTGCTCAAGCTCCACTGGTAAGTGACAAGGTTTACCAAAAAGAAGCCTATACGGAGACATACCTATAGGAGTCTTATAAGCAGTCCTATAAGCCCACAGTGCATCATCCAAACGCATGGACCAATCCTTCCTTGTGGTGTTCACTGTCTTTTCAAGTATGTGCTTAATCTCCCTATTGCTTATCTCAACCTGCTCACTAGTTTGGGGATGATAGGGTGTTGCCACCTTATGCGTGATTCCATATTTCTTCAAGAGTGCTGCAAAAGCTTGGTTAACAAAGTAGGAGCTACCATCACTAATGATTGCTCTAGGTGTGCCAAACCTTGTAAAAATATTTCCTTTGAGAAAACCGATCACAATCTTAGCATCATTAATTCTAGTGGCAATGGCTTCTACCCATTTAGAAACATAATCGACAGCAACTAATATATATTCAAATCCATAAGAGGTGGGAAAAGGGCCCATGAAATCAATTCCCCAAACATCAAATATTTCAATGATTAGGATATTGGTGAGAGGCACCTAATTTCTAGCATGTAAATTACCCATCCGTTGGCATCTATCACATGAAGCACAAAAAACATACGCATCCTTAAAAAAGGTAGACCAAAAGAAACCTGATTGTAGCACTTTGCTGGCAGTCTTCTTTGCTCCAAAATGGCCTCCGCATGCATGGGAGTGACAAAACTCTAGAATGCTCTTAAAATCACCTTCAGGCACACACCTTCGAATTACTTGGTCTGGGTAATGCTTGAATAGATATGGATCATCCCAAAAGTAGTATCTTGCTTGCTTCCTAAGCTTGTCACGTTGGAATGTAGATAACCCTGTAAGGAGTTCATTAGTGCACAAATAGTTAAAAATATCAGCAAACCAAGGCAATGGATTGAGGGAATTCAAAGCACAAATGGAGAAGAGTTGCTCATCAGGGAAGCTTTCACGCAATGGCAATGAATCCTCCTCTTCGTTAGATACATGTACCAATCTACTCAAGTGATCAGCCACGACATTCTCACTTCCTTTCTTATCTTTTATCTCCAAGTCAAACTCTTGCAACAAGAGAATCCATCTAATGAGTCGTGGCTTGGCATCCTTCTTGGCTAACAAGTATTTTAATGCTGCATGATCAGTGTAAACAATAACCTTGTTAGTAATCAAATATGATCTGAACTTCTTTAAAGCAAATATGACAGCTAATAACTCCTTCTCTGTTGTGGAATAGTTAAGTTGGGCATCGTTGAGGGTTCTACTAGCATAGTAGATGGCATGTGGCTTCTTATCAACTCGCTGTCCCAAAACAGCTCCAACGGCATAATC